GCACACTAAGTGCTCTTTCATAAATATCAAAAGTATAGAACAGAATAAAATAAAGCATAAAAAAGTTGCTTTAAGAAGTTAATGATTATTGGGACAATTTCACAGTCAGTAAAAAGAGGTTCTCTCAAAGTGTAGCTAGTTGCAGTGAGCCTAGTATTTGACAAAAGCCTTCACAGATGAAAAACTTATAATATTTCAACGTTGTTCAGATATCTGCAGTTTTAATATCCCTTTTAGCATAAAATTCTCAAGCTAGAATCACGCTTTCTTTCTTATTTTATGAAGATCTCAAATAACACTTTGATTCCATGTGACATTATCATAATTTTAATAGTAAGATGTCCCTGGAGCCACTATCCTTCACCTTGATTGGTCAAAAATATTAGGCTGTACATCTTAAAGTATCAAGACTTAATCATGCTAGGCACGACATGACATTGCAATGACAATAAAGGGAAATTCTCTATAAAGTATTCTGCATTAAATAAACACTACTTGGCAAGAGTAGAAAAGCACAAAATACAGGTAAACAAGATTATCACGATGTTTGGTCCAGAACTAACATAGAGAATTAACAATCGACCATAAGCTATTTATAACAGTCTGCCCTATGTACAATATAGAAGCACATACACTTAACATGCTTACAAGAGTATGCTCAAATTGAAGATAGAATAATCAAAAGTGGAATGAAATCTTATGTTTCAACATACAGTGTCACGCGGTAAGCAGAGTATGGTAACGGTAATGCTGCAGCACCAGCCAAAAACCTCTCAAATCTGTGGTTTCCTCATTTCCAGACAATCTAAGCAATTGCTTCCTATACGTATGGTAAGCATAAAAATTCACAGCTTTAAATGGAGCTGTTCGAAGAATATTAATTAAGTTTCCTTTCCAAAGCTCAATTAATCCTTGCGTCATAGAAATCTTCTTATCAAGCTCAAATATATTCCTTTGTTGGCCACGAACTATACATATTCCAGCTTTAGGGTCCACTTGGATGCTATTGCACCCCTGCTATGTTAGGTATTTTTTGGCCTGAATTGCAGGGTAAGATGCATTTGGATAGCATGCCATTGCCTTTCTAATCTTTAATTGGAGGGAAAAAAATCCAGTGCTTCACTGATCCATAAGACAGTCAACTGTTCTATGGTAAAATTGAAATAAAAAAATAATTTTCAATTATAGCAATTTGCTGTCTTTGGTCCATCATTCCGTTGCCTCATATTCAAACATGATAATAGACTATCTTGGTTAATCTACTGTCATACCGAACTTTACCATCACCACCGCGATTCCATAAAACACATATCTACAGCAATCTCACTTTTACGATAACTTATTTCACCGTTGCTACTATTTTCAGTCTATCAGAACTAATTTCACTGCACATCCACGAATGAATCCTTAATTGGGGCAACAAATGTTCTATATCATTAAAAACAATAATTAGAGTGGAGAATTTAAAAAAAAAAAAACATAGTTTCTCGGCAAATAGCACATGACTAAATTACAATTAAGTTAATTTTACCTAGAAACCATGGCTGCGACAGCTCCAGCACACAAATGCTTGCTAAATGAGCCATGCTGGGCCAGCACGGCCCATTAAACTAGTTCGACAGGGCCACGTCGCGTTACCCTAATTTCCTTTCGGCTACAGCTAGTCAGCTACTACTTGCCATTGGCCATTGCTTTCTTTTTTTACTCCATTTTCTAACAGAAATACCTTGGGTTCTGAAACAAGCCCATAGTTGCTCAAGCGAACGAACATAAAAAAACAAGTCCCGCCTCACGCTTTTGCCTCCGAGCAAAGCAAGCTGTTCTTTTGGAAGCGGAAGAATCTTTAAAAGGGGAAATGAAGTCGATAAAGGAAGAAGGAAACGTGGGGTCGATGAATAAACATCTGGGGACGAATAAACTACAATCTGAAGGAAATGAATGGTGAGGTTGGTTCTCGGGGAGGGAATTTTTTTATTGGAGATGGAATTTGGGCATTATTAAATGGTGGATTTGGTGTTTGAGGGAAGTTTATTATTTTTAGGGGATGAAGTAGAGAGGGGTCAAACGAGGGGTGGAGGAATCGAGAATGAGTGGGGGGGGGGGGGGGTGATCAGCAGTGGCTTTGCTTCCATCACAGAACCAACTACATTACAAGTTCTTCCTCTTGTGTTGTTCTGCCCTTCGAGTTGGTTTTGTTCCTCTGATTGTTTTTATTATTACTCTTTTTTTATTTTTATATAAGTAGCGTAATGGATAAAGGAACGCAAAATAATCGCACTTTTGAAATTTGCTTCCTTCTGAAATCTAGAATCCAATCATTTCATTCGAATTTGGAGAAGACAGTGCTTTTTAAGTTTTTATATTTTCTTTTTAAAAAAGATAAAATTACATTTGGATGCACCATAATGTCGTTTTGTTTTTAAAATTCAGATTTCATTGAATTATAAAATGGTTTTTACTTCTATTTAAAATCATGAAGTTTTCAATCAAATATATTATAATATAAATAAAAGAAAAGGATTAATTTATATAGTATAATTTTTTTAATTTTACATATTTTTAATTATTAATTTTAATAAATTTAATAAATTAAATTAAATTTTTAACTTTTAATTATCTTTCTCGTTTTTTAATCTATTCAAATTAAAAATTATAAAAAAACTTTTTTAATTTTGTATTATATAAATTCTATCCCTTCTTAATAAAATTTATGCATTAATCATTTTCTTATTTGAGTATTAGGTATTAGAGATGTCATCATACCGGATTTAGCACAGATTGTATTGTCCATCCCCCTTGCCGATTTGGATTTTGGGTTTTCGACCCTATCATGTTTTCGTCCTTATCCATGAGGATGCTCACCATCTCTATCCTTATTCGGACAAGAGAAATCCTCTTTTGCATATTTTATATTTTATTATATAATTTAAAAATATTATTTTTATCATTTCACTTATTTAAATAAAATTTAAAATTTATGATATAAAATATATTTATTATACATATAAAACCAAATATTAAAATTATAGTTAATATATAAGATTATAGTAAAATAAAATAATATTATAAATTAAATTAAATTATTTTATTTTATTTTATGTTTGATATATACAATAATTAAAATAAAATAATTTATTTATTTATTAAAATTATCCTTCTTAAAATTGATATAATTTGAATTATTAATATAATTTTTAAAAATATAATTAAACATTTAAATTTAATCTCATTAATTAAAAATAATTTTTTCACTTAAAAAAATTAAATAATTTTATATAAAAAATATTAATTCTTTTTATAATCTTTATCTTTTTTTAATATAAATCAAATATAATATATAATAATTATCCTCTTATCCTATTAATATTCTTTTATATTAAACATTATCTTAAAGTCTAAAAATAATTTTTCAAACTCATTCTTGTTGGAAGGAAAAAGAGAATTCTTCATAGAATTCAAGCAAAATTGACACAGATATGACACCACTTGCACTTGCTTGTGTAACATAAATTGCTTAGACATTATAAATTTCTTGTCGTGATAATGTTAGCTACTACAATTATTTTGTGTTTGTTTGTTTTTTTTTTTTTTTTTTTTTTTTGCTTAGAATGAAATTTTTTGAAATAAACATATTTCTTCATGCAGAATAAAATAGTCTAAGTATATGTCCTTGTGATCGGTTTTATTTGTTCAAGATAATAATTTTAAGATATATATTTTATGTGAATATGATAGGATCAAATAAAAAAGGTAAAAGCCAGTTTTTATGAATAATAATTATATAAGAATAAGATACTGTTATCTCTTCGATATTTAAAAAAAAATAATGTTAAGATAACATAAGACTTCGTTTGCCTTGATTTTTTAAAAAAAAATTGTAAAAAAAAAAAAATCTTTTTGCCTAGTTTTTAATTTTTTTATAATAGTTTTTAAATTTTTATTGGTTTATAAACATGTGAAATTGTGTTACCATTGTATATATTTTATTTTGATTCAAGATGAAAAAGATTATAACTTGAATCAAGATGAACGATTATAACTTGAATGTAATATTTTTATCTAAAATCTTAACATTATATTAATTAATATTATTCAATTAGAGCTCAGTCTATTTTGAAAAAAATTATATATAATCTGTCTATAACTATGTAATTAGTTAATAGTATTTGATAAAATACTATATTCATAATTTTAATAATTAAAATTTAATCTTTAATAATCTCCTGCAAGTTCTTATAATAAATAAGAGTAATGATGTATTTTTTTAATTATTATTGTAATATGAGCATCGGCCATAATTGGACCACCCAAAAACAATCATACTATGGTTATCGAAAACGAATCAAATTAAATATTTCTGTTTCTCAATCTTTCTGATTTGCTTCTATCAAATCAGAGTGAAAAGATTAAAAAAAAAAAAAAAAAAACAATCATTCACAATCACTTTTATTACTGGTACCATAAAAAATTCACAGATAATCTTAATATACTTGTACAAAAATAAAATTTGTTAAAAAATATAATTATTTTATATAATAATAATAAAGCTTCAATATCTATAATATTGATTAAAAATTTAAGATATGATAAAGCACTACCGTAAAAATATATTTTTATTTAATATACTATCATTACCAAATTTTGTAAAAAGGCATATTAATTACAAAATTTCTTTTATAAGTATTACCTTAATCAAAAGCATATTATTTATAGTAATTTTAATATAATTAATTAATTATAATTTAAAATTATATAAAATTTATTAAAATTTTATATGAAATTTATATTTATAAATGATCAATCTCTATTATATTATTATTTTAATTAAATAATTATAAGATTATAATAAAAAATTATAGATAAAATACTCCGATTTAATTAGTTGTTACTGTTTCTCTTTGCGTTGTCTTATTTTCGCACGCTTCTTATTTTTTAAAAAAATATTAATATATGAAGGAAGAAAAGCGCTTAGTGGATGCTGCAAAATGTTACGTTAGGACCGAGCACATACAATTGAAACTCCCTTTAACGGATTTCCTTCCGTCTCTATAAATACCACATCTCCTTCCCGCTTAATCAATTTTCAATATTCTCACGAAGAAAACACTCGGATTTTCGGAGAGAGCCATCGAGAGCGATTGAAGCGAAATTTCAAGGGTTTCGTTGGTAGATTTGATCTTAGGTCTTTGAAGATGCAGAAACTAGGGCTTCCAAGCATGAAAAGCTTGGATCGTTTCAAAACCTTATCATCCGTCTCCGGAGCCCCGAAAACCTTCTCACTCTCTTCGCGTCCACCTCCCGATTCAATTTCTTTGGGAAGTTTCACGAATTTGAAACTAACTGCAGGTTTTAATCACAAATTTTTTTCTAATTATAGTATTTTTTCCAAGAATTTGAACGATTTTGATGATTGATTTGTTTGCTTATAGAGAAACTTGTTAAAGAGCAAGCTTCTGTGAAGACCGATCTGGAAATGGCGGTACTTTCCCTCTCTTTCTCTCTCTCTTTCTCTATCTCTCTATCTGTCTCTACTTCTTCTTCCTTGATATTCATTAAGCTGCGTGAAAAACACACAAATCCAACATTTGCTCTTTTTTTTTATAGCTACTATTCTTGCTTTTGTTAGTTCTTCAATGCTATGAATATTAGGGTTTAGTCTCACGAGATAATGGAGATCTCTTAATTTTCTGTCATTTAACGGCTATTTGACTAATGATTTTAACAAATGTAGAATTCTAAGCTGAAGAAATCAATGGAACATATTAGTGTATTAGAGGAAAAGTTGCAGAATGCTTTCAACGAGAATGCTAAACTCAAAGTAAAGCAAAAGGAAGATGAGAAGCTCTGGAAAGGTCTGGAGTCTAAATTTTCTTCAACTAAGACTCTTTGTGATCAACTCACTGAAACATTACAGCATTTGGCCAGTCAGGTTCAGAAGGGTAGGTGTTTTATACATATGTAATTTCTCTGAAATATCATTGTTCTTTATGATATTTTTTAAAAATGTTTTAACTATTTTTTTCTTAAATAGCTGAGAAAGATAAGGAGTTTTTTGAAGGTAAACTATCTCAAAGCTCAAAAGCAATAGACTCATTGAATGAGCATATGGATGGCCTTTCTTTGAAGTTAAGTTCTGCAGAGGAAACAATCAGAAACCGTGAGTTACTTGTATTTTATTCATACAAATTCATTCTGTTTGAATAGTTATGATTGTTTAAGTTATCTATTTCTTTATAAGAACAAGACCAGAGTACATTGTGTTATTTGATTTATCATTCCACAATGTGTTGGACATTTGGTATTTCGAGTGCAGGTAGAAAGGAAATAGAAGAACTCAAATTTGAGAAAGAGGAAAATGATAGGTTTTACAATGATGAACAGTGCAAAACCACGAATCTCATAGAGGAAAAAGGTGAGCGTATTGCTTGGCTGAGTCTGAACAGAGGCTTTCTCATTTACATTGAAAGACTAGGAAGTGGTTGCATCAGTAGATATTCACATGAATATATAGCCTGATGGGGTTCTAGATTAATGTTTTGGAAGATGTTTGAAGTTTATGCATGTATATATAACATGCATGCCTCGCATTCCATTCTTTCCCGGCAGTAAACAGATAAACCTTTTTTATCAATCTAGGAAGAGATACTACCCACAAAATTAAGATAGAAAAGGATAATAAGTGGTAATCTTATTTTACCATCACGTAAGTCATGCTGTAATTATCATTCAGAAGGGCTTTTGTGAAATTGAGCCTACTACTTATTACATGAGTCTTTTACCACTTATGATCCTGTGCTTATAATATGAGTAGAATTCAGTAATGATCCTGATTCATGGTAACAAAGCAAAAGCTATTGAATAAGTTTTTTACCACTTGTGATCTGATTCATTGTAAAATAGAAAAATTGTTGAATAAGTTTTTTACCATTGACTTAGGATACTTAGCTTTCTCTGAACTCCCAATTGTGCAAAAAGAAGAAACTTCAATTTTAAGTAGGTCAATTTCTAACATATCTCTTAGATTAGGTACCTTTTGACCAAAAATATGGAAATGCTATCCACTCAAAGGGTACAGAGATAAATACTCTTTGTTAAGAAATAAAGCATCATGTGCTTACAAGGCATAAAATGAACATGTTGCAGCCAAAGAAAACATTATTAGAATCATAAGCATGCTGATTGATTTTGAGGTGTAAGTTTTAGCCATCAGAATCTAGTATTTGCTTCATAAATAGCATCTTTGTGGAATATTTTTGCATGCAGATGCTCTGATAAAGAAATTTGAAGCAACTGTGGCAATGAATAAACAGGCTGCAGAGAGTTTAAACTCCAAAATCGGGGAAGTTCAGCTTGAGTTAAGATCAAAAGAAGATGAGATAAAATGTTTGCTAACCACTCAGGAGAACTTGGAGAAAAGGAAAAGTGATCTTTTGTTGAGTAATAATGAATTTGCTAAAAAGCTATCGATATCTCTCCTTGAGATTAAACATCTTGAAGGTTTTGTTGCTGTGTTGGCTGTGCAGTTGGTTGAACTGGATAAACAAAATCTGACTTTTACAGACAAGTTCGATGAACTAAATTCTCTCTATGACACTTGCTTTCACTTAGTCCAACAGGAGAGAGATCTTGCAGTTAAGCATTCTCAAAAGAAGTACGAACAACTCCATGATAGATTTTTGTACATAACATCAGAAAGGGATGCATTACAATTGGTTAACCAGGAGTTAAAAAGTAAGATCATTGAACTTCAGAAAGCCCAAGAGTCTGTTATGGCCCAGCTTTCAGAAGAATGCAATTTAGCTGGAGAGAGAATCCAGAAGTTGGAGTCAGAAGCAGAAAGTCTGGTCTCAAAGAAGATTGAAACAGAAAAGTTAGTTTCAAAACTGGAGGAAAAGATTGACACGCTGTCTGAAAGTTTGAGATCATCTGAAAATAAAATGGTTTGAATATTGATTTAAATTCATATTTTCTCTATTTGAAATAGCCTTGTTTCTAACATAAGCCTATTTGGTTTTGTCCTGCAGCAAGATCTATTGCTGAAAATGTCAGCTTTGGAAATGGAGAACAGAGATAATACAGAAAAAATGCAAGCAGAGATACAGGGAAAAATAGAAGAAATTGCAAATTTGGAAAAGGAGTGTGAGAAACATGAGGTGCAGTTAGATTCTTTGGAGAAACACGTTAGTCAGCTGCAGGTCATGTTAGAGGAAAAAGAACAGCTTATCCTGCAATATAAAGAAAGAGAAACAAAGCTGGAAGATCAAATTTCAGAGGTTTAGGAAACAGTTACAGAATATGTAAATTTCAAACTCTTATACAGGCTTTCAAATAAATTTGTGAGTCTATATGCTTCTGCAGAATCAGGCAAAGCTGACAGCTGCTGAAAGTAAACTTGTGGAAGCCAGGAAGCAATACGATATGATGCTAGAAAGTAACCAGCTAGAGTTATCTAGACATTTGAAAGAGATATCTCAGAGGAATGATCAGGTATCATTTTTCTCTCAATGTGATATGAATCCTTAAAGGTTTTGGCAATCAGATTGATACTCTGAGGAGTTTTCTTAGGCGATTAATGATATACGGAGGAAGTACGACTTGGAGAAGCAGGAGATTGTTAAACTGGAAAAGGAGAAGGTTAGCTCATGATTATTATATGTTGTAATTTGCAGCAAATAGTGGTTCTCACTTAGTTTTAACTTTCAGGCTGACAAAGTTGTTGAAGAAATGGAACAGAAATGTGACCAGAAGGTTGCAGAGTGCAAAGAGGAATTAAGGCTGCATTTATTGCGCATTCAAGAGGAAAATGCTGCTTTAGTATGGCACTGGAAACTAGTGCAAACTTAAGATCAAGTTGTTTGTTATTCTCTCAGCATATATGAGCTTTGCTATTGCTAGTTCACACTGTTGTGCTGTTATTTTCTGATCAAGTTTGTTTATTTCAAATTATAAATATAAAATACATTAGTGCACATCTATGATAGTGCAGGCTATATATTCTAATGTTATTCTTGTCTTGTAGGTCACTTGTCTTCAGCAGGAGCATGATAGAAAGGAACTAAATCTCAAAGCTGACAATCATGAGGAGTTAAAACGTGCCCAACTTCAGGCAGAAAATGAATTCAGAGAGGCATTCACACTGATAAGTTTTTAAGTTTGAATTATTCATATTAGTGTTAGATGTATTTAATTGCTAATAGTTTAAGAATTGGTCTAGAAAACAACATCTCTTAGGAATGAACATGAAGTTCAGATGAAAGCTCTGAGGTGTCTATTTGAAGATGAGTGCAGAAAGCTTCAAGAGGAGTTAAGTCTGCAGAAGTCCAAAGTATGTATTTGCTTCACCTTTTATATTAAATGACATAATATGTGCTCTGAATGAACTTTATGTTAATATATTGCAGGAGGACAGGCAGAGAGCTTTATTACAACTGCAGTGGAAGGTGATGGGTGACAAACCACAAGAGGAACAAGAAGTGAATTCAAAAAAGGTCGGTTTGTTTCTTTGATATATTGCTCATACTCTCTCTCTCGTCCTGTGTATGCGTGTAAAGAATGGAACATACCAGCAAATATCACATAAACAGTTTCATGTTGTCCAAATGTGTAGACAGTAATCCTCCATTGTTCAATGCGTTATATCTAGGCTTCGCAATGATCATTTTCACCAAAATATTACATTGAATAATGTTTGTACTTTTGAAGACAGTTTTTAAGTTTTGGCAACTGGATTTAATTTTCATCGTGCATTGAACATAGCTGGAACTCTTTCTCTGCATGATTGACTGAATCTGTGCTTTTGGAAAGGGAAGCAAAAGTGGATGGAGAGTTATGAAGAATGGTACAGTAGGTCACATATGTCACCAACATACCATTATGGCAACCAAGATCATAGCAGAGTTTATGCTGAGACATTCCATACAAACAAAATGAACTAAAACACACACACACACACAAAACACATGTACACACACACAAACATGCAAACTTGGCGGAGATAGATTTTTAAGCTACTTGGAGTCAGAAGCCTTACCTTTTATGGTTTGCCTTGGAGTAGGATTCAGATGTGGAATCTTTCAATATGTGTGATTCAGATGTAGAATCTTTTGATAAGCATATATTAAAAAGTAATTACATGTGTAGTATAACACATTATCTAAAATGCCATCAATTTGATGGATTCCTTTTCTTGCAGGATTATTCCATTTCTTCAATCAAGAAGAGAGATTCTGGTGTTAGCAAAAGAACTCAACATGCTCTGGCAAGGCCAGAGAATGGAGAGAAGGTAACAAAAGGCAATATCATTTTGCCTCCCTTGCTAAATGCTAATACAAATTATTAAAGTAACCGTGATTGCTTTCGATATTGACTACAGAAATCACCATAATATGCAAGGCACCTTAAATGTCTTTTTATATTGCCTACAGGAATCACCATCACCCGGTGCAACACAAACACCAGTGTCAAAACTGTTGAAGAAAGTAGAAAATGCAAACACAGGAAGTGTAATGAGCATTCCTAAGCATCATAAGAAGGTATAATTACTTATCTGCTGCCTTTTGCCTTTTCTATTTTCCAGTTAGGTTTGGAAAAAAAGGATGAGATAAAAAGTCATCTTTGATATTTATTCGGCTACTGGGTCCTGACACATCCTCCCAACCTCCTTAGTTTTACCTTATGGCATGGCAGGTAACTCACCATGAATATGAAGTTGAAACTTCCAATGGAAGAACAATTACAAAACGAAGAAAAACAAGGACAGTCTTGTTTGAGGTATGTATCTGACACCATATTTGTCCATGGAAAGCCTACATCATTTGTAGAAAACCCAGATGTGATATAGGTTGGTCAGTAGAGTTTTGGATTCGTTTATACACACACAATCACACATAACCCATGCTGAATTTCCTTGTCTGACGTTACATCAGGATCCAAGAAAACATAAGAAAGTGCGTACACCAAAAGTCAATACCCCTAGAAGTTTTGTCAAGGTACTCAAAAGCTAAAGTATAGTTCCTGGGTCTTTGTTATATTTCAATATCACCTGCACTATTCTGCTGTAAGCATGACTGCTTGAATATTCAATTTATGCTTGGCAGAAGAAAAAAGAAAAAACAAAATTGGCTAAGTCATTAGGGGATCAACAGTTAAATTTAAATTCTTTTATACTTTCCCTCTGTTTTTAGAATTCATAGTGTTCTGGTTTTTGATAATGATTTTGCTAAAAGAATTATAGGCTGAATGTAGAAGAGGTTAAATTTTTTGTTCTTGCTGGATTTGGTTATATGAGTAGCTTCTTAGTGGATGCCATGAGAAATGGTAGAGGAAAGAAATTCCAGTTCCTTATTAAAAGAGGTATGACCTGCAACTAATGAAATAATAAGCCTCCTTAGAAAAATGCTGAAGCCCAAATATTTAGCATCAGTTGGTTCTGGATATTGTAATGGGCTGTAAATATACTAGACTGATTAACGTAAGGCAAGGAATTAGGGTCAGACTTGCTAGAAATGGAAACAAAAAGAGATAAAATGCAAATAAAATAGACTCTTTATCGTAATGATCACTTGTATCAGGATATGCTCCACTGTTTAAATCAAAGTGTGATTCCTTCCCGATATTAGAGGAGTTCATTATTGATATATTTTTCATGCAGGGAACTAAGGGAAGTCATCCAAATGCTTCAAACATTGGTGATTTGTTTTCAGAAGGTTCTCTAAATCCTTATGCAGATGACCCATATGCATTTGATTAAAGGTACTGTCAATTATCTATTCTAGCAATGAACGTCTAAATAAGATGCTTTTTTTTTTCTTTTCCTTTTTCTATATTCTTTGGAATAGTGGAAACTAACTACCTTTGCTCTTCATAGAGCAATTGAATTTGGTGAGTTTTTGACATGGGGATCTTGCTTTCATCTGATTTATATTCTCATGCCAACCATTTTGTAGTGCCTAAAATACTCCTAGTGAATTAATTTTTGGTTCTGCCTATCATTCTGCCTCGAGAAGCTGTTAAGAATTTGAGTTGGAAGTTCGAGATGGCAGGCTTGATTGTTTGGTTGGCCTGTCCCTCTGAGTTTGCTTAGCATCAAATTATTCAAAAGGGATGAATTATAAACCGTTCATAAGATATTCTAGAGCAGACCATCTTTTCATTTTTCTACCAAAATGTGGTTTCATCTGGATTTGACTGTAAATTTATCTTGCCACCGATGCTTAAATTTGCAGGACCGATGTACGTGATATTGATACCCGAAAGGAGCCTTAATTTTTCACATTTAAAAAGAGCTTTTTCACGCGGTTCTCTGGATGGGCAATGGACAGCTAGACATCGCAATGGAGATGCATTCTATCATTCTTTTCTGTTTGCTAGAGGCATGTGATCATATGATCTGATTTTTGCAATTTCAGTTGAGACCATTTCATTGCTACAATCTGGCATGTAAAGTGTTTTGTAGATAAAGGACTGTCCGTAGTATTTAGAACTTTTGTGCCGTGTGATCAAGCACAAGTCCTGATGAAATCAGGTGACAGACTGACAGCCACAAGCTTTTAGCAAGTGTGGAGCTTGTTCAACTGAACGACCAATTAATGCTCCATTTGTGAAGGGTTTTTTTTTTTTTTTTTGCCATTAAATACAAATCTGAGATGTTCTAGTTCACTTGACTGGGCGTATAGATTAAAAAAGCTGGGCATACAGTAGGTTTACCAGATTGAAAAGCCTAGAGCTACGAGTATCAAACTGGTGAGAATAGGTGGGTCATGGTTGCTTGTTTACTTGTGTATGACGTCTTTGAGGTACCTATTGCAAAAATTCACTCTACTTGAAAAAATAGTCAAAGTTTTCAAGATCATCTTTCTCAACTCCTCATTTTGCGTATCTGACTTGTTCTGTGTGGGATCCAAGGTCCCCGGCTGCATGCATGCTGTTTATCAACTTATTAACATATGTTAATGCATTTGTTTAACATTTTTCCTCCTAGTCTATAAGTTAAGCAAAACTAATTTGTTTCTGGTTTTCGCTGCATCTTTTTTGAGCTTAATTAGGCCAGCAAGTCTAGATAGGAGGGGCATTGTGTCAGGTGTTTTTTTACCCCCTAAACCATGTCAGAATCAAGTATTCCGTGCACCAAAAAATAGACTTATACTATGCACCAAGTATCCTAATATCTTCAAATATCACACAATCTCGAATGCAAAGTATTGTGATGCAAAACCGTCTGTATATCTTGCAAAGAATCCCATTCCAGGATGAGATTATCAAAATCCAATTCCAACACAATTTGTAGATTGACTAGCATAGTTGACGCTTCTGCAATTAATGGATTTATAGTATCATGCTGGCCAGAATAGAGCCATTCTCATCTTCAAGAGCAACTCCTATCCCCATTGCGTCGAGGTCTTTCTATTATTACAAATTGACGAAACATCCATCCAAAAGAACAAGGAAGCTTCCTATTTCCAATTGTTGTATCAACTCTGATAGAAACATTGTATTCAGACCATCCGGCCCCGATGGGATGTATTCGCATCTATGCTTTATAAACTCCTTCTGCCATAAATACTCTCAACCCACGAAGGATCTAGTCATATAGCGTTTCTAGCTATTTGTTTTAAGTTTTGCAACACAATCACTGAATTTTTGGTAATTTATTTTAGTTATTGGGTCATGGGATTTATATTTAAATGCCTTCTCTGACTACATATATGTTCTCCAACAGCTGACGGTTTGAGGGTTGAAGGTTTATTGGAGCTTCTTGACTCTGAAAGCTTGGGTGTTGGTCTTCCATCACCTCTATGGTCATCGAACCACATTGACCTGATGGCAAGTTTCAGACTCAAACCACCATCCACCTCTGAATCAGGAAATCTGATAGCAACAAAGAGATGCGGTAGTAATTACATCTGTTAAGAAAATTTATGAAGAAATACCATTAGGAAATTTGTATGCACAGTTATAGAGTCAATCTCAAACCACAGTATCAAGCAATTATGTTTGCAAGCACACCCCTTTAGATACTTTCTGGCAGTCTTGCTACCTAATTTTTCATAGCACTGTAACTAATGCTGATGATACCATTCGAACTTCTTTTTCCTTACTCTGCTATATATAATATGTATCAGTATTCTATAGCAGTCTCCAATTCATCAATTCTTGCGTGATGGGTATTAGGGGCTGTTTTCTCATTTTATGCCAGATCAATCTCTGCTGTAGCATAACAACAAGGCGAGAGAGATTGTTGTTGGTATTGTTTCTGACTAGAAAATTTTTAAGGGTTTCCATGCTACTGCAAAACTCTCAAGTTATGGGAAAAAGAATTGAAGTTTATCTAGTTTGACTATGTTATGCTTAAATTCAAATCTATAACTAGAATTAGCATTCATGTATTCATTTCATATAAAATATTGGAATATATGTTACAATTGGTATTAACACAAAAGCATAAAGTATATTTTTTATTTTATTAAATTTATATATAATTATCATTAAAATTTTAATCTGCATCACTTTCATATTTTTTTTATTATCGGCATCATATTTTAGATTGCCCACATCCACTACAACTATCCATACCACAATGAAGCCAATAAACGCTGAACGGTCTTAAGTTATAAATTAGCTGCACTAATTTCTGATTAATCTTTATAAACCCATTCAGGCTATTGCAGTGTAAACAGAAAACAGTGAAGTGACGAGTGGAAAAAAGAAGTTTCCATTGCTTTTGCTCTGTCATCTGGATGATCAGAGAGTGAAGTTGAAATTGAGGTTTCGCGCTGCATATTAGCTTTCTATTGAAATAGGCAAAGCATCAGAGGCAAGAGGATGCTTTTTTAAGAGATAGCTATGCATGCACGAAAGAGAGCCAGTGAGATTTTAATTGCAAATTGAATCGGTGGAATTCATGAGTAAGCCACCATAATATCTCCGATTGCTTAAACAAAATTAAAAATATAAAGCATTTCCATATCTACGATATACAAGTCAGTACACTATGTGAGTTAGTTTCATTTCTCTCTCTCTCTCTCTCTGGGTAGACATTTTTCTTTGGAGATTAAGAAGCTTATATATCAGCCAAAACCTGTAGATAAGACTATTTATCTTTTCAATACGGATTAAGAAGTACAAATTTAATTAACACACGATGGAGTGGATATGTTATCTAAAAACTTGATGATTCTTACTAGCACAGGAGGCTAAGCCTTTGCTTGAACAGTTTTGGAGGGCATTGGTCTGGTGGGTGCATGAATTTGCAGTTAGGGCACGCAGGTGATGACTTGCATAGCATCACTAACATGTGGCACCGCATGCACACTGTTGCTACCATCTCTTGCTGTTTCTCATCCTCTTCCTCCTCTGCCAACCATGAAAGGTTCTGCGTTAATCCAACGGATGTGTTGATCTTCTTATCAACTGAACCGGCTCTCCCATGGCTAATAGAGTTGTGCTTGTTGATCAATTGGTGATCCATTGCATTTATTTTCCTTACTGAATCGCATGGTAGGTTTAGCTCAAGGTCTAAGCTCATGTGGCCAGAGCTTGGGGGCTCAGGACTTCTCCTTGGATCCTTAGAAGTTCTCGCATGAGTCCTTGTATTGTAAAAGTGTATCTGCCCAGACTGAACACAGAAGAAGCCAAAACAATAATAAGATTCTTGGTATTGTTTATGTAACAGTGTTACTACTGCTGAAACATATGCTTCATCTGGGGTTTTGATTAGAAAGTCAATAACATAGGATATATATATATACCTGAATATCTAGACATCTTTGCCACTCTAAAGGTAATGGAGTCTCGTGGTGTAGCTCCATATCAAACACTGATTTCGTGCTTTCTGCTTTTGATCGCTTCTCGAAAGTTTCTTCATCACCACTTAATGGCTCTTCCAACTTTCTCTTCTTTGATGAATTCTCTAACTCCGGTGTTGTCTTTCTCATGTCTGGAGACAGGAAGGCTTGAAAGGAAACCATATAGAATCAAGTACTCCAAAGCTAGCTAGCTTTCTTCTCTCTTAATTTCTATCTTCCCAGAGAGAGTGATCAAATGGTGAAATGTTTAGGTGGTTTTATAGGCTGAAATTAGGGGTGTAAGGGCATATAACTGCAAGGGAAGAATCAAATAGGGCAAGTTTTTGGAGGTAGAAATAAACCAAAAGAGCCTACCTATGCATGACGTGCATTCCAAGTTGGCTCTTCAATTACTACACAGCTCCAAGCTGCTGCTGTTCAAAGCTAAGGTGTGAGCCAACCTCTCGTTGGTCAATTATATATGCAATGCATTCACCTGATCTTGATGGCCCCTACAATTATGCCCTGGCAAGACACCAAAGCTTAACTGTGCTTACGTGACATTAAATAATCCTCTGCCGTGGGTTTTGAAGCCATATTTGAAAGTAGTAAGCTGAGCCAAGCCAAAGGCCAAAAGTTAAGAAAGGCGGTGAGAGGTGTGGGTCATTAAATGTGGAGAGTCTGTGAAAAGGTGAAGGGGGAAAGTTCTTCAATGCCAATCCATCTTTAATAGCTTAAATAACTCCAACTTCCACAATTAGGTCACTCAAAGAACTAAAACTTTTAAAGCTTTCAACACCCCCCTCCCCCTTTCCCCTTTGCTTTTAAACAAACCCCATATCTCATGACCTATATCAATTAATCACCCCCAAGAACCCAAGCTTTTTAAAGCCCTCAACACCCCTTCAACTATATCGAAAAAACACAACTAATTTCCCATGAGCTCACATTTCTTGTCTTCCCCACACTGTATTTTCTTTTTTAAAATCACCATACCTCCTTATATTCTTGGACCAACAAACAAACCTCTTCTTCGATCCTCCGTACGAAATAGTCATAAAATCTTTCAATGGTTTATAATTTAGATTCGCCTTTAATAATACAATAAAGGGTAACCCTCATCTTTCCTAAACGCCAAGCATTTAATTAATTATATATAGCCAAAACAAAACTATTCAATAGACTAACTTTCAAATTGGATTAATTCAAGTTTAATTATGATTATGAACTAACAGTATGTATATATGCATCATGTTCATTTATGTTACATGCATCTTGAACTCGCCCGTGATATGGGGAATATAGTTTCACTTGAAAAAGGCAGCTGAGTGTGGAAGCAGAAATTAAAAAAAAAAAAATGTTTCGGATTTTATACAAAAGGGATCAATCGTAATTCAAGAAAAAAAAATATTACAGGTATTTATAATTTAAATTTTAAATTTATTAAATATTATATTTTAATTATGATTGTACGAATTAAATGAAAATTGAAATAAAATTTTCTTTGTATGAGAAGAAGATGCAGCATGTGCATGGGGGATAACTGATATCCTTAGCCGAATTTCACCAACCAAATATAAATTGGTGGGGGACCCAAAATAGACTAGACAGCAGATGACTTAAATACCAACCTATTTCATTACTAGTAGCAAAAACAGTAGACAACATTTAACGTCCTTCTTTCCAAAGCTAAGGATATTTTGGTAAGCTAATTAAGCCCTTTCCATCCCTCCAATTTTCAAATAGTGCTTCTAAATGCACCATCAATTTTGTTTTTCATATTTTTATTTTTTAAAAATTTTTTACAAGTAAATTTATTTAATTATCCTTTTCATAAATTCTTGAATATTCATATTCGTTAAATTTTATGATTTTTTGAAAATTTATTTTTAAAATTCATATAGTTTATTGAAAATTAATTTTCAAAAATTATAAAATTTTACGAAAATCCATTTGCGTAAAGAGAAGAATTAAAATTTTAAGGAAAATAACAAAAAAATTATTAAAAATTTTTATAAATTAATGTAATGAAAAAAATTATTATTAGAAAAAATCTTAAATTTTAAAATTAATAAAAAATTTAATTTTACTATTTTAATCTTAAAAAAATAATTAAATCTTACGAGACTCTAATTAAATTAAAGATAAAATAATCAATATAATTTTTTATAAAATTAATAAATGTAATTTTTTGTATTCAATTATTAAAATTTTGTAATAATTTTAACTAAACTGAACTCTTTGGAGACATCTCTCCATCTATTTATTAGAATAGGCTTCTCCTGTTAACATATTAAATTTTCAAAAAATTAACAGTATTTAATAATATTACTTGTATAGTTTCAAGAAATTTTAACTCTTGTATATTGATTAAACCTTATAATTCTTTTATCACCCTTTAAAACATTAAGAGATGAAATGTTTAATTAAAATTTTATAAGATTTTATTATTTTTCTAAAATCAAAATAACAAAATTAACTTTCTTTTTATTAATTTTAAAATTTATAATTTTTTCTAATAATAACTTTTTTATTACAGTAATTAATAAAAATTTTTAATAAAATTCTTTTTTTATAATTTTTCTTAAAATTTCATTTTTGAAAATGAATTTTGACAAAATTTTATAATTTTTCAAAAATCCAGTTTCAATAAATCATATAACCTTTTGAAAATAGATTTTCCAAAAGTTATAAACTTTATCAAATATGAATATTTGAAAATTTTAAAAAATATATATTTAAATAGTTTCATTTACAAAAAATTAACAAAAAATAAAGTGTGAAAAACAAAAATCGTGATGCATTTAGAATCTCTCATCTTCAAATTGAAGTAATTTGTAGACAATAATTAAGGGAAAAATAATAAAGGTCCAATTCATTAAAAGCATTATTGAGACAGAGAGAGAGAGGGGGTTATAAGTAAGTCTACCTGCCTTCATTAACTCCCATCTTGAATTCACTTAAATGCAGAATTCAAGGGATGACCATTGAAAACCCACCTCGCTTTCTTCAACATCTTTCATCGTCACCCTCACCACCGGTTTTCCCTTCTGTTTAAATGCTCTCAACCCACCTCTTCTTCCCTTCATTTATGTTTTTGTTCCTCTCTAGCTATAGCTACTTCAACCTCTTTCCCTCTCTCTCTCAAATTCAATGTTAATTGATAAGGTTTTAATATCAGTGCCCACATATAGAATAACTGTCAGAATCGACTATTCTCACTAATAAATTACATGTGAATCATTTTGATCCCCAAAATAGGATTTTAATCCCATTGTCACTTGGTTAAAAGCGGGTACCAGCATCACAATTTAATATTGAAAATTAATTATGGTTTTGGAGCGGCAGTTGCCATTGGCCGCCCATACCTGTATTACTTACTATTAGGTAAGCAGCAGCTAAACACAAATTGAGTACTGCTATATCCACAATCTATGACCCAAAAGAAAACTGTAACTTTTTCCCGTTTTTGATAATTGAGATTGTTGGGGATTTGATTCGTAAAATTAAGAGTTCAATCCAATATAGTATAAATGAATCCTGACATTTGATTTTGGAGTATTAATTAATATTATATCTTATTTGTTTTCGTAAGATTTATTCTATAAATTCTATCATATATAAAAATCAATATTATAGGATATTGAAATTTTACATACATGAGAAATAAATTAAAAAAAATTTTGGCATTCTTGTTAATATAGCTCTAGCTAGCTGGCTAGGTTGTTTGTTGAAGTTTATTATTTGAAGAAATAAAAAAAATGCTCACATTAGTTAAAATAATTGTCGCCTTGTATGTATAAATATATTTTTATAGAAGTAAACTTGATTATAGCTAATACTATTGTTTTATGTATATTTCCCCATTTTTCCCATTGTTTGACAGAGTACTTGTTGATAGGGAAATTTAACATATATATTTTTTGTGGTTGAATAGTAGTAATATTATAGTCTTATGATGACTGTCAATAGCCTATATATATACCATATTTTTTTTTTGGATTTTAACATTAATAAATAATAATTATTCATTATTGTCAAATTAAAAACTAGACGTTCATTTTAAAAGAAATTAACCTAAATAATATATGATTCAATCGATCTGTTTGTTCTCTTCAAAAGTAAGAGGTTTTAAAAAAAAAAAAAAAATGATGAAAATTTTATTGTAATGATTTGTATAGTACAATAAAGCTTAAAGCCTATTTATATAGAGGTCAAATGTTACAAAATAAAATATACAATAAATAAAAATAATGATTAAATCAATTCTTATAATCAACTAAATTAATATCTAATATTATCTAAATTAATATCAAATCAATCTAAAATATTATTAAAATATTATTAGAATAATATCATCAATCTAAAATATTACCAGAATATTACTACAATATCACTAATAGTTTTATATTCAAACACTGATAATTTTTTGTTGATGCTATCCAGAATGTAAGTTCCAACAAAAAAAGAGATTAAACCGCATATATATATATATATATATATATATATGTTCTAGCTTTTGAATTGAAGTAGAGGAAAAACAAGTTATTATTTAGGTCTAATATAATGACACCCAGATTAAAAACATAACGGGATAATGATGGGTTTTGATTTTGAAAACAATTTCAATAAACTAATCCAAATAGAGTTAATATACAAAGATATATAACAAAGAACATGAATGGAATTTTTTTATACCAAAAAAATTTTAGTGTAAAAATAAAAAAAAATAGATAATAAGTGTAGAAGTTCGAATTTTAAATTTATTTAATTTTATCTTTTAAATGTGATTGTATAAATTAATTAGATTAAATTTTAAATTCAACATCAATAAAATATTATAGGCGTCATATATAACTCCACGGGAATTGAAAAAAAAAAAGGATCCTGGAAAAATTAATTGAGGTGAATGGATTTTAGATATTTGTTGATCAACTCGTGACTCTTCCATCAACTGTATATAGCCAATATAGGTTGCCTTTCAATAAATTGGTATATGAGAGAATATCTAAAACTTTCGTTACCTTAATTAATCTACATTAGGGAAACACAATTCTCTCACGGTACTGCTTCTATAAAAGAGGTCATTAATGCTGTTAGCTGTGGCTTACATGCTAGCTACTAGCTACTAGTCGCTTGTATTAATTAATAATGATGTATATATAAATATATATATATATATACACACTTGCATATATACTCTTAAATAGAATATAACATTTGGAGTTACCTATGGCCTGAAAAGGGGATTATTGCTTAGAGTTGAAATTGGGCATTGGGGAAATCAGTTGTTCATTGTTCAACAATATTGTAATATGCAAATGGATGGTACGATCCTTTGATTCAGCTCAAATGGTTAAAGCTGGGCTGGGATTATGTAGAAAATTCTAGAGGTGATCAAGCTGTAAAACTTTTTTATATATATACAAAGAATTAAATGTGCAGAATTGAAATCTTCGAACAACAAAGTAGTTTTTGAACATTGAAGAAGGCAATTTGTATATGTTGTTATTTGTCATTCATGTAATAGAAGAAGGTAATCATGGTTTCTGTAGTTTCGTAATCTGAATACAAAAGGCGGTAGAAAAGCCAGAAGGGCACTTTAAATATATGGGAGAAGAGGCGAACGTGTTACATAGATGTATATATACCTGGGCAGATGAAAGTTTATTTATATGAAACAGTAAGAGCATTAAGAGCAGCTCTCCAATTGCATAAATCAGTTTGATTACTTACTCAAAATATTTTTGGCCCCATCACTCTCCCGTAATAACTACTGCTCAACAACTCAACTTTGACCCACTGAATCAAAACATACTGATCATACACGCAACAAAACTATTAGGAGAAAACAATGAAAAAACTGATCATTACAACTTTCTCTCATGCAAACTTACTTATTATTCGTCCCTACAATTAATATTCAACTAAAGATTGGATTATGGATTGCTATAAGGGCAAAACCATTCGGAACAATTCAAAACGGATAATATCTTGTAATTGTATGTATTTAAACAAATCTTGTATCGACAAAACTCAATTTAGAAACCAGTTTTTCTTTTTTATTAGTATATGGCCATGATCATATGTATTCTTATATTTAGGACTAATTAGACATATGTTTATCAAAATGATGAAGAAATCAAGCGTGAAGGGAAGTACAGCATTTGTCCGAGGGGAAGGGCCAAGGGGGACCAGATTTTAGAAAATGATGCATTTATGCATGGATTCATCAATATGGATTAACTGCAAATGCAATGGTGCATTTATTTTTTATCAAGTAGTTATGTTGGATGGTGATCCCTATGATCTATAAAATGGGTCCTACATTTTCTATTTTTCTTTTATATTTCTGTACATATAAATAAATACATATAGTTAAGAGTATCTGGGGGCAGGCATTGCAGACCGTTTTGCAATCACAGAAGGTTGGTGGTGCACTTTAATTTAGTTTGCCTACCTAAGGGGACATATCCGGCCCTTTCTTTTGTTCTTTCCATTCAGTTTGCAAACTTTGATACGTACATCATGTTAAACGAGGCTTTGATCTGACATTTCTGTTTCACTTTCCAGGAAAATACAAGATACTCAACAAGGATGTATACATTTCTGCCTAGCTGCCTTGGATAACAAAAAGAAAGAAAAATGATTCATATATAGAGGAATTATTTGAGGTTGATAGTATAGCATATCTATACATTTAGCTTAATTTCTCCACTGCATAGTTTTGGTTAAGAATATTTAAGACAAAGTACTGATCATTCTCTGTCAATGAAAAGTAACTTAAATGTTTTGATGGATCTTTTTAATATATGTATAAATATAATTATATATTAATAATTGTTTTGATGGATTTTTTTTACCCTAATGGCAAAGATTTAGAGAGAACAAATTCATACATTAGTACTAATAAAACCAATGGGTATCAATTAGATAAGAGAGATCAAAAAATCGAAATTCAATGATTCATCATTGTGGGAAATTAAAGAAATTTTTTTTCATCATTTACTATGGCTTAATAAATAGCCGCATTGATTGGTCAAACAATCAGCAAAGTAAGAGATCCTATAAGGATAAATCACTTTATATAGCATTTAAAATATAGTGACATAATATCAAAATAATACAAATATAAAAAATAAATAATTTAAAATGTTAACAAAAATTATATAAATTTAATAAAAATAAAAAAATATATTTCATATTTTTTATGTTAATATGAATTGTTATATATAATTTTAATATAAATTAAATACATAGAAATTATTAATATTTACATTATATCAATACATAAATTTTAAATTTACTGTCAACCCTAACTTGTTGAAATTAAGATTGAAACTTAATAATCTCACGAAATTGGTCTCCAAAAGGGGAAAAAGGCATTTAAGTGTTGGGTAAACATTCCTTGTTTTAAAGATCCTTGCCAATTTAACACACATACTTGCTAGTTAGTTCAACCAAGTTGGTCAACAAATGCATGCAACTTTCATTGAAGCATTTACGTATCAAACCAAGAGCTTTGTACCTCCCTTGCACTACTATTACTTTTTTTTTCTTTTTAATTGAAAATATACAATATATATATATATATATATAGATAAACATACACACGTATTTACCCTAAAGGCGAAAGCCAAAAACATTCAAATAAAAAGACAAAAAAAAATGTAAAAACAAAGAGATGGAAACAAAGAAAAATGTCACCTAACATCTTAAAATTTTAAAAGGATAAGGTAGTTTATTAACAATAAAGGCTATTGAACCTAATGTCTTAGAACTTGAATCTTAACAATCTTTAATCTCATCATTAAAAACTTTAGTATCATGTATGAGTTTTGTGTAGATTACATTTTTAAATTGGATGAATTTAAGATGATGATTAACATACGAAAGATTAAAGTTTATTCATTTATTATTATTTTTTAATATCTAGTAAACTTTTAGATTCATTGGTTATTTGGTATGTTCTGGTTGAAGGAAAAAAAATTTTAATAAAAAAAGTCGTAATATAAGAATAAAAAAATTATACAGATATCAAATTTAAATTTTAAATTATTAAAATATTCATTTTTAAAATAATAACATGAACCAATTGATTAAATTTCGAGCTAAAAAACCTCCTTTTGACTAATAAGAAATTGATAAAAAAAAAATCACAAAAATGCTTTTAAGGTTAGGTACGGAAGGTTGGGTTAGATCCATTAAAACTTGCAGTCTCACCTTCCAAAATTATTAGTTCCGATGAGATTTCTGCTTTGCTTGAAAATAACTGTTTGCAACCTTGATTATATATATATATATATATATATATATATATATATATATATATATATAAAGCTCTCTCTACAGCAATTGCAACTAGACTACCTAGGTTATTAATGCAATATTAGGCATCAACATCCAATGGGTTTCTCATTGATTGGTGATGAGACTTTATATAAATATCATCCCATATTAATACTAATGCATGCTTCTTGTTGTATGTGGATGAACAAGTCGATAATACAACAATTAAAGTATTATACATCTAATATTTTCATGTCTTGTTGTTGTCATCTTAAAAGAAGTTGGTTATGGCTAATTTAGGTGATAAAATTTATTTCAATGTCGGATTTAAAAGATTGAACATTGGACTCACCTATTCGTTAATTAATTATGTGTATTATAATAATTTTGTGAATTGTGATAATAGTCATAAGATTTAATTTTGATTACTAAAACAAAATTCTATAAAAAAAAATACAAAAATGTTAACAATAAATGGAAACCTTCGACTTTGCATTATATATATTTATGTTACTAAATATATAAAGAGAAACGGCTATTCGATTATGACAAATATTCACACTAATTCAATGTGGTAAGTAAATGAGCTGGATCCTGTGAAGGAAATGGAAAAAATGGAAAAGGAAAAAGAAAACCACGCTGTCAATACATATATATTCCAACATTGCGTCATTGCCTCAAATCATTGTTAACCGACGCCAATACCAGTGCTTCTCGCAACCTACATTCATAGAGTCGAGCGGAATTCCTTTTGTTTCGGGCAAGAAGAGGGCAACAAAAATGGTCATCAACGCAATCTAAGCAGCGTAGAATAAGGTGCCATATTTCAGGTGGCAGAGCACGGTGAAGAAGGTTTGGGACAGCCCGAGTTGGTTTCAAAGTTGACATCAACGCTGATGCTTCAGCCTGTGGGCCGAATTTTTATGGGGGAGTATTTCACTTAGAATGAGCCAGCCTAGAAGGCCCAAGACATCCAAATCCAGCCCGTAGACACATGTTAGAACTAGTATGACCAGGACGGCGATGCCCTTGCTGATTTCTTTGGTGCCTGAAACCCCTCTTGTAACTGTTAGCACGACTGCCACCCCAACCTATAAAAATTTTCCAAACATGATAAATTTAGTTAGGTTTAGCAATTGATTCAATCGACATTTCATCCTGGATCAAGACGAAGCCTGAGATCACGTCAATAGACATTCAACAAGAAAAAATGGTTGTTGATCCTTTCATATATCAAGCAGAAGCCGGCACACTAATTTTTTTTTTAATCCCGAATCATGCAGTAATGCTATTAATTTAGATGCCTGAGATCATTAGTCAATTCTTGATGAGTACTTATCGCATTTCAAATATTCATAAGCAGAAACTCAGTATTAAACGTGGTAAATTATCATACATTCAAAGTTTGGATCGACTAGACAACAAGAAGACAACAGAATAATACAAGTTGCAACTACGTAATAAACAACTAGAAGCATAATTTTCTTCTACACCCATAGGACACTATAAGGTGATCCACTGATCTGAAGCTGTAAGCCTTCATCAAGACAGCAGTATCAGAATTTCATGTACATTCTATATCTAGCAATCCAAGGACATTACTACTAATTTGTAGCGAACAGCTAGCAACTTTGGAAGCACAACAACACTGGCAAAGCGACTCCATCACTTTTTCAGCAGATTCCGTGAGAAAATTCTCTTGCAATAAGGGTTGGTACGCAAGATCGTGTGGGGTCGAACAGCTTCAACTAGAGAAGCATGAAGAGGACCCTGCTTGAGACAATACGTTTTATTTGATGAAAATCATACATCTTCACAAGAAAACTACATATTTATGCAAGAGATGAAAAGAGCTACTACAAGGGAATTCGTTCAAATTTGAACAAACACTATCGAGCAGGAAAATGACAGAAGAAATGACAAGTTCCAATACCTTGGTTACTGCTAAAGCAGATTGAATGACATAGTTTGCAAATGGATCTTGCAATAATTGTTCAAAGTGGACAACAGAGATTAACTCTCGGACGATTTGCGACCTACTTTCTGCAAAATGCTTGAGGCATTTTTCAACCACATGACTGCTAAATTTTTGCATTGAGAGTTGAACAAAGTGCCCTTTGAACTGAGAAAGCAAGTTGCCAATGGCAGAGGGGACCTTTAGCCCTATAATGTACTGAACAACATAATTTCTGTTTTTGGAAACAAAAGAAGATTACAAATCAGAGAGAAAAATAAATTATGTTAAAGAATTATTTTCATGATTGAAATCCTCCTTCAATCATTCATGATTTTAGCTAAATTTACTTTACTAGCGATTTAACAGATCATATATGTTTCACAGGATGCGTCTATTTCTAACGTGCAGAGATCTTGTTGAATGGTATTTTCCTTTTAGCTACCTGATATGTAAATTACAGAAAATAAGACAACTAAAGACATGAAAAATCTTAATTGTAGATAATGCTAAATCTGACACATATAATGAAAAATATGCTCAGAAATGACATGAAAGCTAAACCAAAAAGCAGAGACTGCATTTTTATTCATAGCTAGCTAATTATAAGCATGTTAACATTCCAGATGTAACATATTCATCAACATTAGATAAATGTGAAGTAAATATTATGTAATTACCAACAAGTTTTTGACACATGAAAGAATGTCAGGTACCACTTTGAATTCAAGAGGTTAGCTTGTCATATGTATTCTCAATACCGATTGAGTACATACCATGCTCATTTGATATAATGTAGCTGAAGAATTATGTTTATCAAATGGATCTATAACTCTCAGAATCCTGATCTGTAGGTCATTGACAATCCCAAAGAATTATGTTTACATACATGAATTTTTACATGAGGATTCAAGTACTAGTTTCCGATGATATAATTCATTAGCATGAAAAATTATATAACTACATAATAAAGCAACTGATTTTTTATGATGATACAATTCACTAGCATGACAATCATATAAATACATAAGTAGATTGATTTTTCATTAAGCCCGATCCAAGTTTACTCATTGAGCTTGATTGAAGCAAATTGAAAAGCTAGTTTAGTTATCAGAACCAGCAATAAGAATCATATTTGTCAGCAAAGTAGGAAGAAAGAAACAAACGGTGATAGCTTAGATTATTACCCAAAAGGATCTTGAGCAAGAAGAAGTCCATTTTTGGAAATTCGAGTAATTAGCTTATCTCGATGTTGCCCATTGGAATGAGCAATGCAGTGTTGCAACACACAGCAACCATGACGATGAGTGGCAATATCTACGCAAAATTTTGAAGCAGCATCAAAAATAATCTGCATTGGTAATAACATAAACAAAGGAGCAAAAAAGTTTAAGAATCAAAGTTGACTAAAAATACATATTAGGTCATATGAAAATGTATGGCATCAAAGTAGAGACAGAACTGTTAACACAGGAAATGCGTGATTAGGATCACTTGTGAGAACAAGTATTGAACCTCAGAAGTTAATTCACCCTCATCATTATACCTTATTGTCTTCATTGTCAAGGCATTGCAAGCAGCGCTGCAGCACATGATTTCCGTTGAGATCCTTGATAAGATCAAGAATTCCAGGTTTAAGAGCGGATTTGATAAGAGAAATCTGTTGTCTGGATTTGAGAGTCTCAATCAACTTCTGTACCACACGTGTACTGAAATATAGCAGTAAGTTCACTTAGCAACAAATATATACATATAAAAAGGAAAAAAAAAGAAGCAAAGAATATCACTGCAAAAAAAGAATTAGAATTAAATGATAAATGAAGCAGTTACCCATATGTGTTTAAGGAAATCCTCACTAGCTGCCCTGCTTCTTTGGTCACCATTAGAACAATCTGCAATCTCTGTTCTTCAGTACACACATCCAGTAACTTTTGCACAAGGTAGTTTCCAAAGGGATCCATCATAAGTTCAACAATATTATCAATAATCTCATTGAATATTATTTGCACATATAAACATCTTCCTTCATCAAATATCCTTTGTAAGAGGCGACAACCATTCTGGTCCTTAGCCATGTAATATATACAACCTTGAAACTCAACCAAGGAATACGGACTTGGCATCAGTGTCACATTTCCTCCATGAATTTTATCAAGTTTAGAGCTTTTCTCTTGGAGGTTTTGCATTGCAATCTCTTCGAGAGACTTTTTCTTATGACACTTGAATGAATCATGGCCCTTGTTGTCAATACCATACTTCAAATCTCTTCCTTGAATGATGACACCATCCCCAACATTCAAAGAATCAATGACACTTTCACCTCCATTACCATCCATTCCGCATTGCTGTGAGCGAACAAAAGGATTATCAAGGTAGGACCTAGTACTAAAGGCATTCTGTAATAGAATTCCCCTATCACCCAAACTCCTTCCCCGTTCCATTCTCTGGTCCAAAAGATAGTTTCTTTGATTATTATGCCAGTTCGTTTTTAAAGAAAGATCATTTGACTGATTGTAACTAATACTATAAGACCCCAACGAATCACCCTTTTCGTATCCACCCTGAAAACCAAGCAATGAAGACCTGATGACATCATTACCATCAAAACACATAGAAACTTGTTGTGGAGAAGATTGAAACCCCCTGTTAAAACCTTCATATGAACCATATTTTTCCCCATTGTAAGAAGAAACATCACCAAAACTAAAGCCAAAACCATCTGTGTCCCTCTCAAATCTCTTTATTTGACCAGAACCCTCTCTATCTTTTTCTTCATCTCTAATATGCATTTGATATAGATTCTCACACAAACCAAACCCATCACCGACCAACTCTTTTTCATTGACATTCTTGTTTCCATAATGAGAATCAGGTAATGATTTAGAACCCAACCAGAGTCCATAATGATGAAACTTGGGTTGTTGGTGGTGTGGTTGGTCTTCAAATGGTGAACTTTCTTCAGATAAAGAAAACCCATTAGAGAAAGAGCTTGAAGGTGAAGGAGAAACTCTGTTCATTGGTGAATGGGGTCGAAGATTGAGAAAAGGAGGAGTTTGAGGGATCTCACTCCATAAAGTTTCAAAATCACTATTTCTCTTCATGTCCCTGATCGTCATCATCATCTCCTTCTCACCCAGTTTAAACATCTTCAAAAAACTAAAAGAAAAACCTTTATAGAAAACAGAGAACCAATGATAAAACCCAAAACCCAAACATGATTTTTTGTACTAAATAAAGTTGATAAAAGAGAAGAATACAGGAAACTCACAAGGTAAAGTGAAAAAAAAAAAACAAAAAAAAAGAGTTTCCTTTTCAATTAAAGATTGCTCTTTGGTTGATTTGGTTTTTGGGTTTTTCTGGTTAAAGAGAAACGGAGAAAAATTATGGGTTTTTTTGCATCTTGACTGTTAAAGAAAGGACAGCGTGCGGACCGGTTACGGTGTAAGCTCGCGACATTGCAGTGAGGTGAGACTGAGCCAGCACTTCACTGTGACAGAAAAACAAAGCACATAGATTAAAGTTTTTTTTTTTTTTTAATTTTTGTAAGGTTACTTTTTTTGTAAGTTATCTCCATCTATTTAGAAACACGAAACAGAATGTTAACTTCTTTAGCAGTAAAGCCTGCTTAATTTTCTCACTTAGTAGTTGATTAATTGACCTAATTTTTTTTTTATAAAGAAATACTTTGATGAAGCCAAATTGACCTCAGTTTTTTAATGGAAGTAAAACTAGTATTAACATGTCAACTAAATATTAGTTCAAACTAAAATTTGTATGCATATTTGTTGGATTTTTAAAAAATTACGAATTTTTAAGAATTTAGATTTTAATATTTTTTAAATGAATTAAGTAAAAAAATTGAGAATTAAAGGTTAAAGAAATTAGAAAAAAAAAACTAGTATTAACACTAACAATTTTGTTTTCATTGGTGAAAACAAGGAGTAATTATTTTTATGGCCATGTGATCTGTTGAAATTTTGGGACATTTCCTCTGTTGCAAAATCAATGGTCAAAGTGTAGGGTGTGATTTGATCATAAGTTGACCTTTGGACGTCTATGGTAGAGCTAACCACACCAAATAATTTGCCCATAAGTTTCTTGTTGCTCAAGAAAATGTAAACAAATCCACGTCAGGGTTGAAAGCTATAGGCCAAGTTTTGTATCTCATTGCTGAGGCACAAGAATTAAAGTCAAATACCGACATTCGATTCAGCTACTTTTTCAAGTTGGCCAAATCAAAACTAGAAGGATAACAGCAACTTTTAACGAAATGGGAAATTTATGATTTATTTAAAAAAAAAAAAAGATTAAGTCTGTGGATTTATCTTTGAGCAGGTGAGGATGCTGGACATGATGATCTCGTCAAAACCAAATCAATCTTTTGGATTTTAAATTGAAATTTCAAGTTGCAACAAAATCAATTAAGCTTCATTTTTATTAGTATTTTTGTTTTGTTAAAAAAAAGGTAAATATAGACACAAAAATTTTAAAAAAATTTTATAATAATAAATAAATATAATTTTTAACTTCTTAAACGATAAAATAAATATATGATTTTTATTTTTATATAAACTAATTATAATATAACTGATAAGAGACATTATATTTTAATAATTTATTTATTAAATTTTAATGAATTACTATAAATAAAATATTAACTTCTCATTCTGTTAACAGAAAATTGTTCCCGTATGTGCCACAGACTTGTACAATGCATATGCCAAAGCATGCAAACAGGGTGGCAGTGACCAAGATGAAAATACTGACAAAAAAGGTGGCACTGTTCATGCTCAACTGCCCAAATGCCAAATTCCATTTGCCAAACCAACAGCTGATTGTCAGACGATGACATGGGCTGTCATGTTCTGCTGCAGCTCACTGCTCTCACCCCGCCACCTACTAACTCCTTTCTCCCTATAAAGGCCAACTAATGAAATATGGGGAGTAACCAAACATTTTTTCAATTCACCCCGAGGGTCTAGACAATTTCAAGATGCCAATAGAGCTCGCAGACAAATATAATGATAGTCAATGTCGCACTATGCAATAAAATTAAATCTGAAACAGCCCAAGACCATCACCAAGACGGGAGCCAAGAACAGAATATTATGGACAAACAAAGCAATTAACATAAGTCCATAGCTCATGTTGACCTGTTAAACCTACAACATAATTCCCAAACCCCAAAATGAAAAGGTCAAATAATATTAATCACACCCCCGCTAATAAGATAACAGAAAACACTAGGGAACAGCGTAGCAAAATGATAGAGTTAGACCTAAGAAATTAAACCAAAGCAATGCTACTTTCACCGCCAGGGGGTTTGCGTACACCACCAAAGTAATCTCGAGACTCAACCTTCCCATCAGCAAAGATGTTGCTGCCACTCATCTCCCGCAGCTTTGCCTCGCTGAGTGGTTTCTCAGCAGAACCTGGAGGAACATCACCCTTAAATATATTATTTCCTGAGAGTTCAGCAAATTTCTGATTATAAATTTTCTTTGCTGTCTTAAGTTCGGCCTCCTCACTTGACATGCTACCTCCAGCAAGCTACAAAATAACATCCAAGTTCCACAACCAGTTAGATATTCAAAGTTAATTAATGATACAAATGGCACAAATGGCAAACTTCAGCTAGGAACATAAGACGCTATGATTCCCTGACTCTGTATGAGTACCATGTAAAATTGAATCATAGAAATGTAATTCTACTATTTCTTAATCTTTTTTCCAAAGCCCAACTATATGATTCCTACCTATCTTAGGTGCAATTTGTTGCACAGATAATCTCAAAAAAGTAAATGCATACCATAGTCCATTACTCACAATTTGTTCTTGCATTGACAAAATTCAATAAGTTATTTAATATGTACTTACATCATATGTATTAGATTCTCCCATGTCAAAATTGTCCTTCAATGCCAATCCACGTACAGTTGTAGGCCTTGGCAAAATTTCAGGCGGGGGTGCAAAGATGTCATGTCCACTAAGCTCCTTGCACTTTGCATCAGAGAGTTGCTTCTTCAACTTTGCATCTATCTCGCTTTCTAGTGTGCCACTTAGCTCACGCTGCTTCGCCACCTCAGGAAGAGTAATTGGCTTTTTAGGATAAATACTCTCTTCCTCAGCAAACGAGATGTGACTGATTCCAGCTAGTGCTTGCTAACAGTGCCAAACACCAATATGTTTAACGAAACATTGTGTGATACGATTATACAATGTTCCAAACATTTGTATTAATCACAGATATCTATATCCTCATAACAGATTTTGAAAATAAAAGAATTGAACGCATACCTGATACATTCGTTGTCCTGTTTTGTTGTTTGGAGTGTGATTAGCACTGCCTGGATCTGACTCATCATTTTCTCCATTAGCTGCAAAAATGCCACTACCAGTCATCTCCTTCATTTTATATCCAGAACAAGGTTTCCTGGAAATTGCAACAGATGAATAAGCGGCATAAAACCAAATGTATAGACCTGGAGAATATGCAAAATTGATCAAGGCACATATTTGTTTTCTCATTCCAGTCCAAGCTTAAGGGGAAAAACCTCATTTAGCCTTTTCCCTGCCTTATTGACTTATCCTAACAAATCCCCTGAACAATAGAGACAGAGACGAAGAGAGAAAGAATCGAATAAAATTTGAACAGCCTTACTGAGATTTAATTAGAATTCCAAGTTTCCAACAAACAAACGAATCTTAGTAAAACAAAAAGAAAATGATTTTCAGACATTTTAGTGGTAACAAAAATTAATGTTTTAACTGATTTTAGATGTACATTAAATCATCCAACATCGAAAGCATTAGTAATTCCGAACAATAAAATCTTTTATCCAATTAACGAAGACACAAGATTCGGTTCGTTAGAAACAGTTACAATTGCTACAGTTAGATCTCCTTCAAGGCTTCAACGGTTGGTACAGTTCGATCAGAACGGAGATCCAATGGATCACCAATTATTGGTTGATAAATAACAGTTAAGACGGAAACTACTCACGGATAATTAAACAGATCAAACTTGAAATTGCGCAGATTTTGAAGTCAAAATTTTTCAAAACCGCAGTTTAGATGATAAAGAGAGAGAAAATGGCAGAAATTTTTTCAAAAAATTGAGAGAAAAAAAAAAAAACAAAGAGAGAAATTCTAGTAACAGCTCCGAGTTTTTGAAAGTGTGTTCACAAGAACATACGTAGAACTAACAAATTTTTCAAATAGATAAAAAATAAGAAAATGGTGTTTTTTTTTTTAAAGGAGAGAAAGAAGGCGGAAGCAGATCTCACCGTTTGTTTAAGCTTTCAAATTCTTCATCGGTCACTTGACCTCCAAACACCACTTTTCTGATTCCGTCCGACGGCTACCATTAATAAAAAGAAAATCAATCAAAAACAGTAATTCACCAGCGAAAAAAATTAAAAAAGAAAAAAAAAAAAGAAGAACCTGGTGAGGGCGGGTGGCGCGAGGGGCGGAGGCGGAGGAATCAGGGGGAGGAGTTTCGGACCAAGTGAGCAGATCTGCTGTGGAAGTGTGTGGTTTCCTCACCGGAGTGCTCCTCTCCATTTTTGTATGGGTTTTTCCAAATTCCACTCTCAAAACTACCCAAAAACAGCTTCCAATTAATACTAAAACAAAAAATAGAAAAGAACCTTCGATTCCTCTCTTCTTACTGCTCTGCAACAACAATAAAAAAAAAAAAAAGGAGGGCACTGTTTTTAGAGCTTTGAAATAGTGAAGAGAATGTATGAAGGGAAACGGGATCTCAGAGAAAGAGAAAGAGAAAAACCGAAATGACGAACATATCCTACTCCTGACCCACCCTGATCTAGAACTTTTTTTTTTTGGCCAAACCCTTTTAACTTGATCTTCCTTCCCCTTTTTTGTATATATACATAGTGAAAAGAGTAGGAAGAACAGTAGGCGTAGCTGCTACTCTACTGGTTGAATTTTAAAAGAAAAGCAAAAATTTTAAAATTTTAAAGCAAAAGGAAAACGGAGAGGGACAGGTAGAAAGATGGTCACGCTGGTATGATTATAACCGTCGATTCGACTTTCTCTCTCCACTATCACTTGTGTTCTACTGATTTTTTGGATCTTGTACCGCCCTTGCCCTCAGTCTGTACAATTTATTTCTTTTTTTTTTTTTTCTTGTGTTTGCCCTTTTAAATGCCGAGCATGTGCGCTCAACGTTCAACGGATCAATTTAACCGATTTAACCGGTATCCAATACCCATGAGAATTTTGAGATTTTGTTGTAAGCAGTAGTAATATGCACCATGATTTTATTTCTTTTCCTGCATCTAAATTGAGTTTTTTTTGTTTATTTTTATCTTTTAATTTAAATATATCTATTTTGAATTTTTATTTATGAATTTAGAATTTTATATTTGAAAAGTGATTGAGTTTTAATTTGGTTCGTTTGATAGATACAAACTTCAAAAATAATTGCACCACTAATTTGAAATTTTAAATTTCAACCTTTTAAGATTTAAGATTGTAGTTGACATAAAGTGATCATTTTAAAAATTATGATGATTTATACATAATAATTAAATTATTATATTTAATTCAAATTCCATGATCTCACATGACAAAAATTATCAAGAGTGATTAGATAATAAATTTTAAGATTAATCTAATTTTTATCTAAAATGATAAAAAAAATTTCATCACAAGTAATATGCAAAATTATTTATAGTCAATATTATTCATTTACTTTTCAAAATAAAAATATTTTATTTTATAAATTTTTACTTTTTTACAATATTATTTATTTTATCAAATTCAAAAATAAATTACGTGGTTTCTTCTAATTTTTTAACGTTATATATAATATAATTTGTTGTCCTACTTTTATTATGATTTTAACAGATTTAGTTTTATTTTTTAAATTCATATTTTTTTATAATTAGTTTATATCAATAAATATATTTTTTATTTTAATAATTTAGTTATACCTTATTATGAATTAAATAAAATATTGCAAATATGAATTGTTATTTTAAATATTAACAATATAATTATTCTAGTACTTTTCAAATAAAATAACACTTTTTTTTTAGTAATACCAAAATTACAATGATATTTAATTCTTAAAAAATAATAATTGTTAATCAAATAATGATTTTAAATCATGAACGATAAAATTTTTCTAGTAATATCACCTTAGTGCTTAGATTATATTCGAATTAATCTTATTTACTTAAGAATTAAAAAAAAATTAGAAATAATGAAAGAACTAAAAAAAATTTAAAAATTCTAGAAAGTGAAAAATATATAATTAATTTATATAAAAAAAGAAAATATATAAAGTAAATTGTAGTAAATGTCAATTACTAGAGTTTTTTTTTTTTTTTAATATATAGGAGGCCAAAAGTTCTTGAAAATTGAGAAAAAATTTTTGTAAAACTCAACTTTACTAAAATTAACTTAAAAATAAATAAATGAATTATTTAAGCTAAATCCCTAATTTTAATCAAAATTATTCGTGGAAGGTTAGCCGGATTCTTAGTACTCCCCGTATAAAGCTCTTGCAATTATTGTTACCTTGTGATCATTTTTACCGCCAGTAGCTTCTACACTCGACAGTATTCGCAACCTACTCTTCTAGCTAGTGAACAAAAAGTCAAAGCCTGTCGAGCATCTAATTTTTCTTTTCTTTCTTTTTCTTGCTTCAAGAATTTGATGCCAATTTGTCTTGGATTGTGTTAAATGCTAGTATATGTTCCAAAATTTGGAAAGGAAGAACTAAAATAATAGTGTTTAAATTTTAGAATTATCATTTCATTTACCATTGTAGTTTCAAATTTTACAAACAAATTTTAAAAGTTGTCATATGTCTTTTTTAATTATTAATTTTTTATTTTTAAATATATTTAAAAAAATGTTAAACCTATAAATCTGGTAATAAAAATTTTGCAAAATTTATGTAGCATTTTTTTAACTATTCGAAATGATTTTGAGTAAATTCCATTAAAATCTTTTAATTTTGGGCAAAATTTAATTCAACTTAAAAAATATACAACCAGTGTCAAAATTTATAATTTTGTTAACTAAATTGAGGCTATTACAAAATTGCCCGAACATTTGTAATATTAGCAGATAACTCTGTTATATTATTTCAATTTAATATTGAGATATTTTAAAATTTTATTATAATATATATATGTAAATATTTAAATTTAAATTTATAAAATATTTTTTATAAAATAAAATCATAAAATTTTCAGAACAAAATAAATAATTATTCATAATTGATTATATGAATCTTCACACCTGCGCAACTTGCTGAACTTTCCAGTTAATTAACTTTACGCCAGTTTTAGCCAAAACCAAAACCTTGTCTGCCTAATATCCTTCTCCTTTGTCATCCTTAATTCCAAATCTATCAGCAGTGATCTTTTATATATTTATAAGCCTCGTAGGAACCTCCAGGCATCAATGAAGGTCCCTGCCTAGCACCCTCTTCATCATCAGAAACTCTCTTTCCTAGATAAAAGCAGACTTAATTCTTTTTATGCCAAATTGTAAAGATGGGGCGCGGATTATTCATTTTTCGTACTAATATGTTTGCGTTGAATTTTATTCAAAATTAAAAAATTTGAATAAAATTTTCCTGTGATTTTTTAAAATAAATTTATCATTTCATGAACCGTCTTTTGCTATGTTTCACATTCAAATTTAAAAAATCTTCTTTCTCTAATTCCATTATATCAAAAAGTTATTATATTCTATTATCGATCACTAATAAAAAATTAAATCAACTTAGTGGAATCCAGAACTTGGGACTTAAATAAGGTTTGATCCTCTAAACTTATAAATTTTTATTTCCTAATTTCTCTTATATCTTAATCTCTTTTGATAAACAAAAAATCTTATTGGAATCCAAATCATTCTTTGTAGGTAGGGTTTTTTACTAATGAAAATTAATAATTAAGAAAAAATAATAATAGTAGCTGAAATCTAAAATAATTACTTATGAATTAATAATCAACTTTAAAATACAACTAAGATCTTATATTTGAAAAGTAGGATTTGGATTTTGATTTAAACTTAAATTTTAAACTATTTATTTGGATAACATTTATATCCCAGCTGTTAGAATTGCAAACAGCTTTTCCAAAGTTTTCTTCAACTCAATTAAAACCAATTGCAATTTTAATTCTAAATCTAAATCCAAAACTTCCCAATTAAACAAAGAATTTGAGATTTAATTTGTTTTAAATTAAGTTTTGAATTTGAAATCGCTAATTAAGATGTTTATCCATTCACAAACTTTGAATCCAAATTATAGTTGCCAAATAATTCACAATAAATTTAAAATAATTTTAATATGTTATCAACAAATCATATAATTATTCACATTTATACTTTTTTAACAAATTATTCACTTCTATACTCTTTCATTAAAGAAAGAATATCAAACTTTGTTTATAATTTTTTTAAACAAATTGTAAGTTTTAAATTTTAAATTACTATATAAATTAATTAAGTTAAAATTGGTGTTCCACATTACTTTTAAATTTGATAAATCAAAACCGAAAATCTTTTGAAATCAAATCTCCCACACACACTGCCTTTCTACCTAATTCTTTTTCTTTTGACTAAAGAGAGAGTGAAGATGGTAGTAGGTTAGACTTGAAAATCCAAAAGAAGCAATGCAGCCTTGCTGTTTCCATAATCACATATTCACATTGAGGATGTTTTGCTTTTTGTACAAGTTTACAATTTTTTTTTAATTTTATTAGTTACAAACTCATATAAATATAAATAAAAATATACATTCTTTGACGAAAAGAAAAGGGTTGATTCTTCTCCTTGTAAATTACTTCTTATGTTTCAAATTCAATTTTCACCTGTTAATGTTATTTAAAAATATTATATTTAAAAAATAATTTTTATTTAATGTTTTTTTTGCATAAAATTTAGAAATAAATAATAAATTAATTATAAAATTTTAAAACACACCACTCAGGATGTTCTTACGAGCAATAAATTGGATCTATCCCCATCTCTGGGTTTCATCGTAAGTAAGCTGGAGGATCCAGGTGAACAAAATTTTAAATGCAGGGAAAAATAAAGAAAGAAAAAAGCAAAAAATTGACGTGTCCAACACAGAGGTGGAAGCCCTGCAACCTAACTTGGGACATTATCCAACAAACAAAATGGGAGATTCCTTAAAGAAACCATTTCATAACATAGTACTTATTACCTAGGTGTTTTCTTTTCCTGATTATTGGTATTACTATAATCTACCACACCAATTAAATAAGCTTAATGTCACTGTTTATCCTAATTGAAGTCTGGGGTACTTCAAGTAATGATTATGACAGCAGATATGATGCTTGGTTCAATGAATTTCTTCAAAATATCTTTTCCTTTTTCCATCTAAATTAAGTATACTCAATTCGGTGTCTGAACATTTTATGCAATATACATTTCTTTAAAAAAGAATGCCATTTTTTTTCGAGAATTCATAAATGAATAAAAGAAATAAAGTAATTGAATTTGGGCCTGGATAAGGAAGAAAAAAAAAAAACCGCGAAAGCGAGAGGTGTTGCCGAGGCATCATCCAATGGTAGCAGAAAAGAGATACGCCCACCTTGGGGCTCGAACGGACGACTACAAAGTTAAGAGCCTTGCTCTCTACTGACAGAGCAAGATGGGCCTTGACGAATTGAGGGCTCCGTGACTATAAACTTTATTAAATCAATAGGAAGATGTTGAGCATCAATCAATTTGCATTAATATAATTAGCTTCTGGATAAGTTTGTTTGGAGAGCACAATGCCAGTTTTTTCTTCGTTAACTTCTGATAAAAGACGAAGAACATTTCTATTGACATCCATTTCATTCAACGGATTAAGAACCCTCTTTAACTGCCAATGTTGAATCAGACTTATGAAACGTATCTTTACCTTGTTGCCTCAAGCGGGTC